TACCTGCCCAACATGTACCTGCCCACATATATACCATCATGTGCCTGCCCAACATGTACCTGCCCAACATGTACCTGCCCAACATGCACCTGCCCAACATGTACCTGCCCACATATATACCATCATGTACCTGCCCATCATGTACCTGCCCAACATGTACCTGCCCATCATGTACCTGCCCAACATGTACCTGCCCACATATATACCATCATGTACCTGCCCAACATGTACCTGCCCACATATATATACCATCATGTACCTGCCCACATGTATACCATCATGTACCTGCCCAACATGTACCTGCCCACATATATACCATCATGTGCCTGCCCAACATGTACCTGCCCAACATGCACCTGCCCAACATGTACCTGCCCACATATATACCATCATGTACCTGCCCAACATGCACCTGCCCAACATGCACCTGCCCAACATGTACCTGCCCACATATATACCATCATGTGCCTGCCCAACATGTACCTGCCCAACATGCACCTGCCCAACATGTACCTGCCCACATATATACCATCATGTACCTGCCCAACATGTACCTGCCCAACATGCACCTGCCCAACATGTACCTGCCCACATATATACCATCATGTACCTGCCCACATATATACCATCATGTACCTGCCCAACATGCACCTGCCCAACATGTACCTGCCCAACATGTACCTGCCCACATATATACCATCATGTGCCTGCCCAACATGTACCTGCCCAACATGTACCTGCCCATCATGTACCTGCCCAACATGTACCTGCCCACATATATACCATCATGTGCCTGCCCAACATGTACCTGCCCAACATGTACCTGCCCAACATGAGCCTGCCCAACATGTACCTGCCCAACATGTGCCTGCCCAACATGTACCTGCCCACATATATACCATCATGTGCCTGCCCAACATGTGCCTGCCCAACATGTACCTGCCCAACATGTACCTGCCCAAAATGCACCTGCCCACATATATACCATCATGTACCTGCCAAACATGTACCTGCCCAACATGTACCTGCCCAACATGTACCTGCCCAACATGTACCTGCCCAACATGTACCTGCCCAACATGTACCTGCCCAACATGTACCTGCCCATCATGTACCTGCCCAACATGTACCTGCCCACATATATATACCATCATGTACCTGCCCAACATGTACCTGCCCACATATATATACCATCATGTACCTGCCCAACATGTACCTGCCCACATATATATACCATCATGTACCTGCCCACATATATATACCATCATGTACCTGCCCAACATGTACCTGCCCACATATATACCATCATGTACCTGCCCAACATGTACCTGCCCACATATATACCATGACCACGTGTCATGATACCAATCACAACTTTCTCCCAACAATTACCAACACGAAATTTAATAGTTTTTTTGGGAGATAATTGAGGAGAGAATTCATAACTCATTTGTGTGTTTTTGTGTGTATGTGTGGCACGCCGCGAGTGCCCATTAAACGTAAATTATGCTCTGCTTGTCTGTTTGTCTCTGTTTTAGTTTTTTGTCATTTTTTTGAAAGCGAAAGACTGATAATTCGAGCAGTGTCCAGAGGCTGTGTTTACAAGCGGAGTCTGGCTCCAGTCTTTTGAAAATTTCACCATTATTATTATTATTATTATTTGATGTTCTTATTATTATTTATGTAAACTACGATCTGAATTATTTTTGTCTTGTAATTGATATGATTTAATTTTTGTTTTAGAAGAAATATTAGACTTGTTATCACTATAACAGTGGTAGTTATTGTGTTAAGTAGGGTTATTAAACCAGGGTTGTTATTATTATTATAAACAAACTCCTAGTGCTTCGGGGCTCGTAAACTGTTTAATTAATGTAAACTGAGCCGCCATGATTGAGGAAAGATGTACAGGTTTCGTTAGTGGATAGTTCAGTGCTTGATGACTGCTGGCAAAGAGAGTTCAGCACACCACTGGAGGATGGAAGGAGCAGAGGAGACATGTTATCGACATACATATTTCTATACACACGAAATGAGGTGATTACGGGGCTATTCATGCCCGTGCCACCTCGTGGCTGGCTTAATCTTCATCAATCAATCAAATAATCACTTGTTAGGACATTACAGTAGAACAAATAATACAATTTCGTTTTCTGGGGGACAGGAAGCCTGTGTATATATATACTTTAGGCTTGCATTGAGGTCACCCGACACTTGCCCCCCTCCCCCCCTAAAGGTGGAACTACACTGCCCCCCCCCCCTTAAGGGTACAACCCCTACAACCGTTGTCTAACTACCCCAGGTACCTATTTCCTGCTAGGTGAACAGGTGCATTAGGGTGAATCAGATAGTAATGAGTGCTTCAGGGTGGGAGAGTACACACACACACACGATAATAAACACAAAATATAACCACTTTCATTCTTCTTTATTCAAGTGATATGGAAAAAAATGCAAAACACTCATTCAACACACAAAGAGTTATTCATTCTCAAATATAACTTTGACGTCACTAGAGCAACATCGACAACAAAAGCAAAACTCCAACTTTATAATAGCAACAAAAAAGTGCAGAAAACATGATAAAAAAAAAAACTTATGAACATCAATGAGTCATAATTACTCACGTCGGAGTGAATATAAAACAGCCCTTGACCCTCATATGGCAACACCAGCCCAAAAATTGCTCCATAATCTAACAAAAAAATACACAAATAATTTAAAAAAAAGAGTAGGTGAACTCAATGACATGTTTATTAGACACTAATTGATCAATATCTAAATTATATATAATGTAACCTAATGCAGAATTGCTATAATTAGTAATTATGAAGATCACGGGGTGGCAACACTCGCCAACTGAGGGTATGAAAGACTTTTTTTATTCTCTTTTATCGATTATTGGGGAAAAAAAGTTTGACGCAAAAGACATTGTTTGGAATGTTAAGAGATGAGAGATTAGCGCGCTCGGAAAAAATCGCAGATTTGGAAATGGCTGAAATTGAGTTGGCTTGGAAGCGTGAATTAAAATCAACGCTAAAATGATTATTTCGTATAATAATTATAATCCAATTTGATTATAACCCTTTCGATTATTGCAGGGTCGGCGTTCGATCCCCTAAGGTCATATGGTGGTTGGGTGCCGTTCATTCACTCTAGCCTCATATCCCAGCTCCTTGTCCTAATTTCCCAGCTCCTTGTCCTAATTTCCCAGCTCCTTGTCTTCATATCCCATCTCCTTGTCCTCATATACCAGCTCCTTGTTCTCATATCCCAGCTCCTTGTCCTCATATCCCAGCTCCTTGTCCTAATTTCCCAGCTCCTTGTCTTCATATCCCAGCTCCTTGTCTTCATATCCCAGCTCCTTGTCTTCATATCCCAGCTCCTTGTTCTCATATCCCAGCTCCTTGTCCTCATATCCCAGCTCCTTGTCTTCATATCCCAGCTCCTTGTCCTCATATCCCAGCTCCTTGTCTTCATATCCCAGCTTCTTGTCCTCATATCCCAGCTCCTTGTTCTCATATTCCAGCTCCTTGTTCTCATATCCCAGCTCCTTGTCCTCATATCCCAGCTCCTTGTCCTCATATCCCAGCTCCTTGTCCTCATATCCCAGCTCCTTGTCCTCATATCCCAGCTCCTTGTCCTCATATCCCAGCTCCTTGTCCTCATATCCCAGCTCCTTGTCCTCATATCCCAGCTCCTGGCCCTCATATCCCAGCTCCTTGCCCTCATATCCCAGCTCCTTGCCTTCATATCCCAGCTCCTTGCCCTCATATCCCAGCTCCTTGTCCTCATATCCCAGCTCCTGGCTCTCATATCCCAGCTCCTTGCCCTCATATCCCAGCTCCTTGTCTTCATATCCCCGCTCCTTGCCCTCATATCCCAGCTCCTTGTCCTCATATCCCAGCTCCTTGCCCTCATATCCCAGCTCCTGGTCCTCATATCCCAGCTCCTTGCCCTCATATCCCAGCTCCTTGTCCTCATATCCCAGCTCCTTTTCCTCATATCCCAGCTCCTTGTCCTCATATTCCAGCCCCTTGTCCTCATATCCCAGCTCCTTGTCCTCATATCCCAGCTCCTTGTCTTCATATCCCAGCTCCTTGTCCTCATATCCCAGCTCCTTGTCCTCATATCCCAGCTCCTTGTCCTCATATCCCAGCTCCTTGTTCTCATTTCCCAGCTCCTGGCCCTCATATCCCAGCTCCTTGCCCTCATATCCCAGCTCATTGTCTTCATATCCCAGCTCCTTGCCCTCATATCCCAGCTCCTTGTCCTCATATCCCAGCTCCTGGCCCTCATATCCCAGCTCCTTGCCCTCGTATCCCAGCTCCTTGTCTTCATATCCCAGCTCCTTGCCCTCATATCCCAGCTCCTTGTCCTCATATCCCAGCTCCTTGTCCTCATATCCCAGCTCCTGGCCTTCATATCCCAGCATCTTGTCCACATATCCCTTCAAAGTCTTATAAACTCATAATGCTAAGTGCTTTCTCCTCATAATTACCTCACCTTACCTCTCTCCTCATAATTACCTCACCTTACCTCTCTCCTCATAATTACCTCACCTTACCTTCTCATAATTACCTCACCTTACCTCTCTCCTCATAATTACCTCACCTTACCTTCTCATAATTACCTCACCATACCTCTCTCCTCATAATTGCCTCACTTTACTCCTCTTTCGCATAAATTGATATCCAATATATATTTTGTATATAATTTTCCAGTTGGCTGGAAGCAACAGTGTGTGTGATCAAGCTCCCCACAAGCATACCCTGGCCCCTAGCCTGGGCTTGGAGAGTAAAGGAACTGTCAGAACCCACTCCAGGTATACTCAAGGGACACTCCAGGTATACTCAAGGGACACTCCAGGTATACTCAAGGGACACTCCAGGTATACTCAAGGGACACTCCAGGTATACTCAAGGGACACTCCAGGTATACTCAAGGGACACTCCAGGTATACTTAAGGTATACTCAAACTTTTCTCCAGGTATTAATCTTCAGTTCGTTCCTTGGTAGTGAGTACTCTCTGAAGCTTTGCTTGGTTTCTGAGTACTCTCTGAAGCTTTGCTTGGTATCTGAGTACTCTCTGAAGCTTTCCTTGGCTTCTGAGTACTCTCTGAAGCTTTAATTGGCTTCAGAGTACTCTCTGAAGCTTTGCTTGGCTTCTGAGTACTCTCTAAAGCTTTCCTTGGCTTCTGAGTACTCTCTGAAGCTTTAATTGGCTTCAGAGTACTCTCTGAAGCTTTGCTTGGCTTCTGAGTACTCTCTAAAGCTTTCCTTGGCTTCTGAGTACTCTCTGAAGCTTTAATTGGCTTCAGAGTACTCTCTGAAGCTTTGCTTGGCTTCTGAGTACTCTCTAAAGCTTTCCTTGGCTTCTGAGTACTCTCTGAAGCTTTCTTCGAGGCTTCAAGGAAGTACTCTAAGGATAAGATGTTGCTATAACGCTTACAGACACGAGCACACGCACTCAAGCGCCCCACAGACACACGCACTCAAGTGCCCTACAGACACACGCACTCAAGTGCCCCACAGACACACGCACTCAAGCGCCCCACAGACACACGCACTCAAGCGCCCACAGACACACGCACTCAAGAGCCCCACAGACACACGCAATCAAGCGCCCCACAGACACACGCACAAGTGCCCCACAGACACACGCAATCAAGCGCCCCACAGACACACACACAAGTGCCCCACAGACACACACACAAGTGCCCCACAGACACACGCACTCAAGAGCCCCACAGACACACGCAATCAAGTGCCCCACAGACACACACACAAGTGCCCCACAGACACACGCACAAGTGCCCCACAGACACACGCAATTAAGCGCCCCACAGACACACGCACAAGTGCCCCACAGACACACACACAAGTGCCCCACAGACACACACACAAGTGCCCCACAGACACACACACGTGCCCCACAGACACACACACAAGTGCCCCACAGACACACACACAAGTGCCCCACAGACACACACACAAGCGCCCCACAGACACACACACAAGTGCCCCACAGACACACACACAAGTGCCCCACAGACACACACACAAGTGCCCCACAGACACACACACAAGTGCCCCACAGACACGCACACACAAGTGCCCCACAGACACACACACAAGTGCCCCACAGACACGCACACAAGTGCCCCACAGACACACACACAAGTGCCCCACAGACACGCACACAAGTGCCCCACAGACACGCACACAAGTGCCCCACAACACACACACAAGTGCCCCACAGACACACAAAGTGCCCCACAGACACACACACAAGTGCCCCACAGACACACACACAAGTGCCCCACAGACACACACACAAGTGCCCCACAGACACGCACACAAGTGCCCCACAGACACACACACAAGTGCCCCACAGACACACACACAAGTGCCCCACAGACACACACACAAGTGCCCCACAGACACACACACAAGTGCCCCACAGACACACACACAAGTGCCCCACAGACACACACACAAGTGCCCCACAGACACACACACAAGTGCCCCACAGACACACACACAAGTGCCCCACAGACACACACACAAGTGCCCCACAGACACGCACACAAGTGCCCCACAGACACACAAAGTGCCCCACAGACACACACACAAGTGCCCCACAGACACACACCCAAGTGCCCCACAGACACACACACAAGTGCCCCACAGACACGCACACAAGTGCCCCACAGACACACACACAAGTGCCCCACAGACACACACACAAGTGCCCCACAGACACACACACAAGTGCCCCACAGACACACACACAAGTGCCCCACAGACACACACACAAGCGCCCCACAGACACGCACACAAGTGCCCCACAGACACGCACACAAGTGCCCCACAGACACGCACACAAGTGCCCCACAGACACACACACAAGTGCCCCACAGACACACACACAAGTGCCCCACAGACACACACACAAGTGCCCCCACAGACACACACCCACACAACCTCTACCATATACGTACATCCCCTCCTATCGACCCGGGGGCTAATCAAGCAAGATCAAAGTTGATTCTCCACCGCCTGTTCTATCAATCAGCTGACTCTCGGAATAGGCGAATCGCCCCAATCAGATTTGGTGTGGCCGCTGGAACACACTCCAGGTCACAGAGGCGAGTGTCAATTGCATTATTATTGGATTATCTGCCTCTCTGCTACCGCACCAAGCGACCATTTTTTTTTTTAGCATTATTTTGACTTCCACACAATAGTGTTTTGTGCGATTATTTCCATTCTTCTTCTTCTTCTAATATAATATCTGATATTATTGTTATTATTATTATTATTAATTATATTTTCATGAAGCCTTTCTGTTTACAGGTCAAACGCCTCGTCAGCTTGGTCGACGTCACACCTGTGTTCGTTGATTGGAGGTTACATCCTTCAGGGGGCCAGGTGTACATGGGGCCAGGTGTACATGGGGCCAGTTGTACATGGGGGCCAGGTGTACATGGGGCCAGGTGTACATGGGGGGTAGGTGTACATGGGGGGTAGGTGTACATGGGCCAGGTGTACATGGGGGCCAGGTGTACATGGGGCCAGGTGTACATGGGGGCCAAGTGTACATGGGGCAGGTGTACATGGGGCCAGGTGTACATGGGGGCAGGTGTACATGAGGGGTAGGTGTACATGAGGGGTAGGTGTACATGAGGGGTAGGTGTACATGGGGCCAGGTGTACATGGGATCAGGTGTACATGGGGGCCAAGTGTACATGGGGGCAGGTGTACATGGGGCCAGGTGTACATGGGGGCAGGTGTACATGAGGGGTAGGTGTACATGAGGGGTAGGTGTACATGAGGGGTAGGTGTACATGGGGCCAGGTGTACATGGGATCAGGTGTACATGAGGGGTAGGTGTACATTGGGGGTTGGTGTACATGGGGGGTAGGTGTACATGGGGTCAGGTGTACATGAGGGGTTGGTGTACATTGGGGGCAGGTGTACATGGGGGTAGGTGTACATGGGGGGCAGGTGTACATGGATGGCAGGTGTACATGAGGGGTAGGTGTACATTGGGGGTTGGTGTACATGGGGCCAGGTGTACATGGGGCCAGGTGTACATGGGGCCAGGTGTACATGGGACCAGGTGTACATGGGGGTAGGTGTACATGGGGGGTAGGTGTACATGGGGCCAGGTGTACATGGGGCCAGGTGTACATGGGGCCAGGTGTACATGGGGGCCAGGTGTACATGGGGGCCAGGTGTACATGGGGCCAGGTGTACATGGGGCCAGGTGTACATGGGGCCAGGTGTACATGGGGGCCAGGTGTACATGGGGGCCAGGTGTACATGGGGCCAGGTGTACCTGGGGGCAGGTGTACATGGGGGGGAGGGTAGGTGTACATGTCTACCACGTTCAACTGCCACAATTCAAGTAATCTAAGTACCTAAGTGTGACGTCGGCCCAACTAACGAGGCGTTTAACCTGTTATTATCTTCAGGTGTCAGAAACTAGGCCTATTTGTTTCTGCCACGACTAGCAATCGAACTTGGGCCCTGAGGTCTACACTCCCAAAGCTGTTTCCATCCCTGTTGTTGTTGTTGTTGTTGAGTTAGGGGCGACGACGACCGTGGGATCGGATGCGCCCCGGCGTACCCGTGAAGGGTGAATCGCAAAGCCAGGAAAGGCGATACGCCAAGCCAAAACACGAAACGAGTGGCGCCAAGCACTAGAAACTAATATGCCACAAGGCAAAGCTACGCACAAAGGGAGAGGCAGAAGCACATAATAGAACAGGGCAAACAAACAGCCAGAAGGGCACACGAGAAGATTACCCGAGCTGAGAGGTATGAGCTACGAGGAGAGACTACGGGAATTAAACCTCACTTCGCTGGAAGACAGAAGAGTTAGGGGGGACATGATCACCACATTCAAGATTCTGAAGGGGATTGATAGGGTAGATAAAGACAGTCTATTTAACACAAGGGGAACACGCACAAGGGGACACAGGTGGAAACTGAGTGCCCAAATGAGCCACAGAGATATTAGAAAGAACTTTTTTAGTGTCAGAGTGGTTGACAAATGGAATGCATTAGGGGGTGATGTGGTGGAGGCTCACTCCATACACAGTTTCAAGTGTAGATATGACAGAGCCCGATAGGCTCAGGAATCTGTACACCTGTTGATTGACGGTTGAGAGGCGGGACGAAAGAGCCAGAGCTCAACCCCTGCAAACACAACTAGGTGAGTACAACTAGGTGAGTACAGCATGTCAGAGCAAATACACAGGAAATCAGAGCACATACTTGCCCGGGAACCTGGCCCGCGGGAACCTTACATTGAACGCCTCCCAGAACACCCATTGCCAAGGGTCTCGTCCATCCACCAGGGACGCCATAACATCCGGAACCGGGGCAACAAACACCTGCAAACTGGGGACCCAGATGGTAGTACTCATGAGGCGAGAAGTCGCCACTCGCCCCCACAGGAAGGGAACTTGCCCCCCACGAAAGCACTCCGGTCCGTCAGACAGCAGTAACTCGGCAATCTTCGACCAGTGACCCGGCGGCATCACAGACGCCGGCAAACGTCCCCCAGGGCCCCAACGCGCACCCGCACCACAGGGATACTCGCGGCCCCGGGCACACCACCAGACGACAGCAGGGAACCCAGACGGCGCGCATCCTTCAGTAACGTCACCACCAGGCCACACCCAGCTCCAGAGTCCACACAATCCCTGGCAGCGGAAGCCACCACCCCCCACTGTGGAGAGTCCCCCGGCGGAGAAAGAACCGAGGGCACGTCCGAGACACAGGCACCAGCACCGGCAGGCACATGGACCTCCGCCACCACGAACCGCGGAGACATCGACGCATCCGTATCCACACTGTCAACACCCGAAGCCCCACAGTCACTGAAGTCACCAACGTCGGCCCCAGGAAGAAGACGAACGCCGGGAACGTTTGGGCACCGGCCGGATATCGTCAGAGCCGGTAAGTGACCCAGAAACACAGGTACCACGAGCCGAAGGAACCGACGCCAGGACGGCAGCAGCCTCTACCACAGGGGGAACCGGGCCACACACAGCAGGAGGCTCCGCAGCCACCCCAGCACCCAGCACATCCGGGACCCGAGTCACGGACACAGGGCCAGGCGCAGCATCAGAAGACGAGGGAGAAGACAGCGACGTCACACAGGGAGCTCCAGGAAGGCCCACGGGAGCAGCTGGAACAGCGACAGGATCAGGCAGACCAACCGACGGTACCTCAAGAACCGGAGGAGGGACGGCAACAACCGGAGGAACGGCAGGCGCCGCCGGGGAAGCTGCAGCAGCAGACGGGACGCGCACCACCTCATCAACATCACCGGAGACTGCCGCCAGAGGGAGCGGCGGGAAATCCTCGTCGCGGAACAAGTTGACAGGAGCAGCAGGGGCCTCAGAG